ATTAACATAATTTATTCAGTTACACCGCCGCTCGTTGGGGGAGGGGATTGTGTGTTCAAACCCTCTAGTGACGTCATGTCATCGCTTGCTTCCGCGTGACGTCACGGTATATCCGGAAGCTGCTGCACCGCGCACGCTCTAAGATCCGAGGTGAGAAGTTAACATCGTGGTTGTTGTTGTTGTCGTGGTGGTGGTTGTTGTTTACCCAGGTAGAGCCTCTCTCCGTCTCTCTCTCGTAGGGATATCAATTGAGTAGCAGCGAGTCTGGAATCGATGTCCAGGTTGGAACATTACAACGCGGGGCCTAGCCACGCGGGGCCTTGCCTCCTGCCCTCGCCTGATTGCATTTGCGATAATCCTCTGCTTAAGTTTAATTCGTTTTCATCTGGCTCACTACTTCATGCGACCTCCTTTGCCAGTAGCAACATATAAGAAGAGGTTTTTCCCCTTTTTTGGCAACAAAACAGGTGTTAAGATATTTTTGGTTATTTCGGTAAAGTCTCGCAGAAGGGAAATAAACAGGACCTTGCGGGGTGGGCTGGTAGGAATAATACTAATACCGGTACAGGGATATCGACCGCACGCACACACGCACACGTAATGAAGTTGTGTTGCTACGCTTCCAGTTCGCCGTGAATAACGATCCGAAGCCCAATAGCGCCCATTCATCACGTCGCTCGAGTGGGCCGGACACGCGCACACGCACACACACACGCACACACGCACACAGTCACACATATACAGACACGCACACACACGCGCATACACACGCACACACACGCACACAGTCACACATATACACACACGCACACACACGCGCATACACACGCACACACACGCACACAGTCACACATATACAGACACGCACACACACACGCACACAAACACGCACACACACGCACACAGACACGCACACACACGCGCATACACACGCACGCAAACACACACGCACGCAAACACACACGCACACACACACGCGCATACACACACGCACGCACACACACACACGCACACACACACTCACACATATACACACACGCACACAGACACGCACGCAAACACACACGCACACACACACGCGCATACACACACGCACACACACACGCGCATACACACACGCACACACACGCACACACGCACACACACGCACACATACAAACGCACCTCTCACCTGCAAGGCAGCGGTCGCCGCTTCTTCTCCCACATCTCTCGTCGCGGCAGCAGTAGCGATGGTGCAAGTTTGTTTTTATCATCAATTTCTCCTCCACCCCTCCCCGCCACTGTTCACCCACCAGAATAAATGAGTTCGCCCATATTCAGTCGATCAATAATAGGTGGATTATTACATCGCAGCAGGATAAGGGCGTGGGGGGGCGACGGCTTGGGGTTGGCGTTCATCCAGCAGTGGATTTATCACGGCTGCGACCCTGAGTCACCGCGATCCTCGTGTCCTCCCCTAGGTCGACTCAGCCTAAAATGGCACACCGGGATTGGTGGCACAGACGTTTTGGCACACTCACGAAGCCTTCTCTGCACTAGGCCTCGCGAAGCCTTCTCTGCACTAGGCCTCGCGAAGCCTTCTCTGCACTAGGCCTCGCGCCGTGCTTTTCGTGCACAAATAAGGCGATTAAATGTATCTCTTCTCTGTGTTAATAAATGTATCTTGTCTCTGTGTTAAAAAAAGTGCTGCGTTTCAGTGAAGTAAATTTGAAGCGAAGTTTAAAGTTTCGCCGTGAGGCGCCGGAAGCGACGGCCATATTGTTTAGTTCACAGATCGCAGGGAGAGCGGGCGGCCATCTTGTCGGACAGACGGATGGACGGACGGACACATTAATCTATTGGTGGTCTGGTCCACTTCGTTCCTACCAGTATAAAGTAATACAATATAGGAACCTCATTTGCCAGTAAAAATATGATAATTGGTTTTTTACCCTTCTATCTGGCAACAAAAACTGACACCTTTTTACAAGGAGTCATGTTTGCATAGACCGCAATACCTGCAGTCAATACAAACAAAAGACAACTCTGATAATGTATGCACTGTTCTTGAAGTTGATTGGTCCACACTGGAGACAGCTTTCCTTAGAGCCTAGTCTCACATGGGTTGGACCAGATGACGCCAAAAAGCGTACAACTCAAAGACAATGCACCATCAGAGTATGAGAGCTCGGGGTAAGCATTTACACCATTGGAACCTCCTTTGCCGGTAGCAAAATATGATAATTGTTTTTTTTACCCTTTTATATATGTTTTTCTTTTATTTCATTGTTTTTCTTTACGTGACATTAGGTGTGAAAAACAGCAAGAATCTTTTTTTAACATTTTTTTTATTTTCTTGCTGTTTTTCACACCTGATTGCTCGTGTTGCAGTCGAAACATGAGAATGTTTTTATTTTATTTATTTTATTCTTTTTCTTCTACGTGACTTTAGGTGTGTTTTTCACACCTGACGATTGCTCGTGTTGCAGTCGAAACCTCGTGAGAATTTTTTTTTTATTTTTTGTTATTTTGTTTTTCTTCTAAGTGACTTTAGGTGTGAAAAACAGCAAGAAATTATTTGAAAATTTTCTTGCTGTGTTTTTCACAGCTGACGATGATTGCTCGTGTTGCAGTCGAAACGTCGTGAGAATTTTTATTTTATTGTTTTTCTTCTACGTGACTTTAGGTGTGAAAAACAGCAAGAAATTTTTGGAAAATTTTGGAAAATTTTCTAGCCGTGTTTTTCACACCCGACGATGATTGCTCGTGTTGCAATCGAAACGTCGTGAGAAATTTTTCTTGTTTCATTTTTTTTTTTATTTCCCTTCTTCTTGATGACTTTACCTTAAGAACCGAGATTATTAATCCCTGCAGTCACGAAAGCTTTAAATACAAATTTAGGTGTTAAGATGTTAAAACGCCGAACTGAAACCTTTTGCAAGGAATCGTGTCTGCATTAGCCACAATATACTCGCGATCAATATGCAAACAAAACACATGCTGTGATAATCTATGCATTGTCTGTGAAACTGATTGGTCCACACCAGAGACGGCTTTCTTTCGAGCCTAGTCTCAAACGGTGTTAGACCAGCAGCTTTCTCTCTCACCTGAAGACGATTGCTTGTGTTGCGATCGAAACGTCGTGATCTATTATTTTCAATGTTCGCGACTTGACCCAAAGAGTATTAATTCCTGCAGTCACGAAAGCTTTTAATCAATAAATTACTATGTAGTTTGATAAGCTCCCAATGCACCATTGGAACCTCCTTTGCCAGTAGTTAAATATGATAACATTTTTTTACCCTTTTATCTGGCAACAAAACTGACACCTTTTTTTACAAGGAGTCATGTTTGCATTGACCACAATACCTGCGGTCAGAATGCAAACAAAAACACAATTTTGATAATGTATGCACTGTCTTTGAAATTAATTGGTCCACACCCGAGACAGCTTTCCTTAGAGCCTAGTCTCACATGGTGTTGGACCAGATGACGCCAAAAGGCGTACAACTCAAAGACAATGCACCATCAGAGTATGAGAGCTCGGGGTAAGCATTTACACCATTGGAGAACCTCCTTTGCCAGTAGCAAAATATGATAATTGTTTTTTTTACTCTTTTATCTGGCAACAAAACTGACACCTTTTTTGAGTTGTACGCCTTTTGGCGTCATCTGGTCCAACACCACATTAACTGCCCTGAAGGTATGCTGCAGGGCAGTTAATATATATTTTCTCTGCAACAACGATGAGGTCGGAAGAGCGACGCCCACATGAATAGGTGGAACGCTGGGTTCCTCAAACCCAGCAGGACAGTGGGGAGCACGTTCATCTGTCAGTCATCCCTTGACACCTGGATCATTCCCATTACCTGCTGACAAGGAATCCACACTTACATGGTCTTAAATTTCACCTATCATGGCATTAGCACTGGGATAAGGTTACTTGCAATTCGTCATGAATGGTGGATTTTTGTTTATATATGTTAATGATGCATGTGAAATGTAAGTGTTTTTAAGAGTTTATCTTTGTGGGGAGCTGTGGTGCAGTTATTTCACTGTATTAGGAACTCATCAATTAGTTTGATTATCACCGCCAGCAAACATGATTGATAAGTGAAAGCTGAATTGCTTGTGGGCCTCTGCTATGTTGATTGATCTTAAATTAATTACATGGTGAAGGGAGGAAGCATCAATACTGAGCAGATGAAGGCGGCCAGGCATGGTTCTGGACACACCACCACTTTTTACCATGCCAGTGTGTGACAGTGTCAAGTTTGTATTTGCAGTAAATTATATTAACTATTGAACATGGAGGTTAAATCAAAACAAACGCTTATTTTAGTTTCCCTCTGGAACTTTTTGGAAGAATGGAAACAGGAAATTACCAGCACATATGCTGCTGAAGTTAGATCTGTTCATCCAAGCATTCAAGCAAATCTGAGCCTGGCTTCACACCTCTAAAGTTGCGATTGAACATTTATTGATGCATTTCTGCATAATACAAATAGTATTATTCCCAACAGCCTTTGCCTATGTTAGCTGATATTTGCTTTTATAAATACTACTTTTGCAGCCAGGCAGCTGAAATTGTGTTCTTGGTGTTTTGGATTAATATTTATTTTGAAGATACTAGGGCTTCCAGGCATATTTATAACCATTTGCCCTCTCATCGTTTGCCTTAACAGCCCGTGTGATGAATTTGGGGATAATCCTGAATATATGAATAAATATAGACGTGTAAGTCATGTGTGACTCTGTATATATTCATTCCTCTGTGCCTCGATACTGATGAAGATGGTGTGGACATTTTTTTCTGTCTGCAGCTGATGCTTCTTCTGATGCTTCCTCTGCAGAATTGGTCTGATGGAGCAAAGGCACTCATCGCAGCTCGGTACACAAGGACAACAATGGGACCAGTATGAAAACAGCATGGATTGTACTGGAATTTTTACACAAGACCAGAGATCTCCAACGGGAGAGAAACCCTTCAATTGCACTGTGTGTGAGAAGGCATATTCAAGTTCATCTTATCTTAAAATACACCAGAGAACACACACAGGAGAGAGACCCTTCAAGTGCAGTGTGTGTTGGAAGGCATTTTCAAGTTCAATTTATCTTAAAAAACACCAGAGAACACACACAGGAGAGAAACCCTTCAAGTGCAGTGTGTGTGAGATGGCATTTTCACAGTCATCAAATCTTAAAATGCACCAGAGAACGCACACAGGAGAGAAACCCTTTATGTGCAGTGTGTGTGGGAAGGCATTTTCAAGTTTGTCTTGTCTCAAAATACACCAGAGAACGCACACAGGAGAGAAACCCTTTACATGCAGTGTGTGTGGGAAGGCATTTTCAAGTTTGTCTTGTCTCAAAATACACCAGAGAACACACACAGGAGAGAAACCCTTCAGGTGTAGTGTGTGTGGGAAGGCATTTTCATTTTCATCTGATCTTAAAAAACACCAGAGAACACACACAGGAGAGAAACCCTTCAAGTGCACTGTGTGTGAGAAGACATTTTCATTTTCACCTGATCTTACAAAACACCAGAGAACACACACAGGAGAGAAACCCTTCAAGTGCACTCAGTGCGGGAAGGCGTTTGCACAGTCAACACAGCTTAATACACACAAGAGAACAAACAGGCATCAGAAGACCCCCAAGGAGTGTAGTCTGACATTGACTTGTGAAAGTCAAAGTGCTGCAATGAGCCCATCCCTCCTGAAAAAAGAACCAGAAGTAAATTCCAGCTTGGACACTATGAAATGTATCAAGGTGACATTTGCAGAGGCGAAGGTGAAATCTGAAGAGGTGATAGTGAAGAGCGAAGAAGTGAAGGTAAAATGTGAAGATGAACATTCAACTCCAAAATCGGACCTTCACATCAATGGATGCAACGTGAAGCAGGAGGAGAATTCTGACTGTGAGGCAGAGCGAGGCAACTCCCAGCAGTTTGTTGATGTGGAGGTGTGGGTAGACTTCTTGGACAATACAAAGTCAAATGGAGAACCTGTAGATGTGTAAGCTTGAGACAATGAAGCTGCAATAGTTTCACATTTGTCACAGGCATTTAATGAAAAAAACGTCAAGATGAACACTCCATTCCTAGGTTCAACCTGCAGAGCAAGAGCGGTCAGCATTTGCGGACCTGTGGGTTGGGTAGATCTCTAACTAGGAGCGAGAGCCAATAAGCTCCCAAGCATTCACTATGTTATAATAATATTAGCATATATATGGTGCTTGCTTAATTGCCTCAGCAACTCGGAGTTTTGTATCATACCTCATCACAAACACTCAAAAGAGCACGCCTAGTGGCGTCCTCTGGATTAACACCGTTTGATACTAGGCTCGAAAGAAAACTGTCTCTGGTGTGGACCAATCAGTTTCAAAGATAATGCATATGTTGTGCATGGACTGACAGAGTATCGCTGAAAGTTTTATTCTACATTCATCCTGATGCTTTGAGTTGCTTGCAAAGTCAAGGATTGCGATAAGTGTTATTGTACTAAGCTTTCACAGTTGTTCAAGAGGTGTGCGAATACAATTTACAAGTTTTGAGAGTGAGTTCCAGCTCCCACGAGCAGCTGCGATCGGCAGGCTCCGCGGAACCTGCCCCCGTGACTTGCACATCGTCAACGAGCTGCACCAGCAGAAGCCACGAGTCTACAAAATCAACGCAGAGTTGACTTACTGCAAGCAGCAAGCTCTGGGGTGGGACTCTGCAATCAACCAAGGATGAAGAAGTTTGCCGAGTAGCAATGGGTCACCGAGTACGAGCTCGGCACTGACAGAAGAATTATCGCTCAAAGTTATTCAACGCTGAGTGCCAGCTCCTACGAGCAGCTGCAGCCCGAGAGATAGAGTGACGAGCAACGACGATCAATCAACCGGGAGAAAGGGTGGAAGCCCAAGCATCGACCAAGCCAGCATCTTAGAGAACCAGCTGCAGGCGCAACCAGGCATCGCCAGAGAGCACGGAGCCAGAGAGAGAGCGCAGCAGCGCCACCGAGCAAGGGTGTCAGCTGCCAGCGGACGAGCGGCGAGCGCTGTCGAGCACCTTCAAAGACAAGCATCGTGCCGACTCGGCTCATCCAGCAGGGGAAAAAACCATGAATAGCCACCCGTGAGAAAGAGGAGAGCGCCGTGGGTTCGACCCACACACACCGACCAGCACCAGCTGTGAACCAAGACAAGAGTGAGGAACGGCGACCAGCAGACGAGCTGCGGGCGCTATCTGACGACGGAATCATCGCGCACCGCCGACGGCGAGCGTCGTTCCGACTCTTCATCCAGCAGTGGGCAGCAGCTCCAGCTGCGGCCGAGCGAGAGAGAGTGAGGAAGCTGTGTGTGTGACCCTCCCCCACACTCACATACTCGCCACGTATCACCCAGCGTCTGCTTGACGCGAAGAATTGATCAAGGAGACAAAACCACCAAACACACACCGCACATACCGGGACTAATAATGAGAAGAATAATCATAAGAGTGCCTCAACTATTAGCTGATAATGAAGAACATTGCTGCTTATTGAGTCACGTGGATACGGGTTATGAGAAGTATTTTAGTCGTTCTTTTTGTTAATTTTAACTGTACCGATGAATTCATTGACGAAACTTAACGTTTAGAAACCTACGTTACGAATCCACACACTCACAGGGAGACTATTGTGTTGAAATCTTTCTTTTGATCACAGAGTCTTGCCCGCGAATTTATTGAAGCCTTAGCCAATTGATAAGCATTTGCTGAAGCAGGCATGTGATGCCGCCGCCACGAAGCCGTTCAGCAGGCGCCCCATCTACAACCTCGCCACCACCAAGTGACGGAGCCGACACTGCGTCCCCCTCACCTCACATGAACACACCCGCACGCATTTCCCCCCCCCCCATAGAGCTCCGAGGGGAGGTCACCTGACTGACCGTTTTTATCCGAGAAACCCTTATCGTGATTAACTTTCACGGTTTCCGGTGACCAGGGAATTGGACGACCTCCCCCGACGCTACTTTGCACCGCGGCGCTGCGACCGGCCTTAAGATGTTATGGTCGCGGCGAAGGGCATTCGGCCACCGCGGTTGAAACGCATCCCCCCACACACACCCCCACGGGTCGACGAGATAGGCAGAGGAGGGACGGGGCGGCATAGTTTAGCGTGCCAAAGAGGGCTCGAGTGCGTAGGTGCCATTGTTAGGGAAGTTAAAGGATAGGGCTGGAATTGCAAATAATCAGAGAGGCGACTCGGGCGCATAGTGCGCAAGTGATGGGGCAGGTGGTGGAGACATGCGGAGGCTCCGCGCTTAACTTCCACAGCAGGCCGTGGTGATGGACGCCGCTGCATAATGCGCAAGACCAAGGCGCCATGCATGAGAAAGGGATTAATTAGAATAAACGCCGCAACACGCAACGCATCTGATTAGCATAGCAAGGGCGCCCGGAACCGCCGTACGCGTGCTGACGGGCACGCGCCCATTGTTAAAGAAAAACTGGGAGGGGGCCGCCACCACGCTCGGAGCCGCATCCCTTTGATGTAGGGAGGATAAAAATGGGGCGCAAAGGGGATATCGCTCTCTTACTCCAGCACCAGGCGACAAGACGCTCTCCAGCCAGCGACCCGAACGTCCGTGAGACGCATCGAGGTACGCCGCGAGTACGGGATCAACGGACCGCTGTGGGCACCTAACAGTGAGTAAGAAGGTGAAGTAGGATCATAGCCGATAAATTGGGAATAGGTCCAGGGGTAGTAGAATAGGCCAGCCTCGTCGATTCATACTGATTTAATATCAATTCCCAGGTGGTCGAAAATAAATCATTAATAGCTAATCGTGGCCTCGTGTGATCTAGTTGAGAGGTGTGAACGGGTGTGGTGCTGTGTACACAGTGGTTCGCCACGTGAGTGAGCGCTGCGCGGAGCTGCGCGTGTGGGTGCGCGTGTGTTCACTACGTGTATGATACAGGTGCGCGATCACAACGTGAGTGTTCAGTGGTGAGTGAGTGCCACGGGGAGCTGTGTGCGGGAGTCCGCGTACGTTCGCTACGTGTCGGATACGGGTGCGCATTGGTAATGTGGTTATTCGACGTGGAGGCGAGTGCCGCGCAGGGCTGTAAGACGGGCACACGCTCGCAGCGTGCGAGAGCTGTACGTAGCGGTGTAAAGAGGGGGAGTATGGCATTTGATTGATGATGCTGTGCGCACGTATGCTTGCAGCGTGGGAGCGCTGCGTGAGGCCGTATGGGTAGGGGTGTCGCGTCCGAAGGCCGGCGAAACCCTAGCGGGTAATAGGGCGGTGCGGCAACGCAACCGGAATAGGGGATGCGTGAGGGGGAGACCCTGGGGGCCAACGGCCCCCACAGGCACACTGCCGCACACCATTGTTCCAAGACGTTTGGTTAATTACATAATCTACCAATGAATTCATTGAGGTCTACTTTTGCATTTGGGACATGTTTCATTATTGCCGTTCGTATGAATATGGTCACATTTATTTTTAAGGACTTTTTCCTATGCTCGCGTTACTCTGAGGAATTAACCGATTGCTCTGTTACCCAGTTTAACAACTTAATCAGTGAGGGTTAAATGTACGGATCAATGAGCACATCTCCAGGAGTACTGTGACAATTCCAAGCATAAGAGTTTGCATATTAGAGTGTTATATTTTTGTTTAGAAATTAAAGTTGCTTAACACAGAAGTGTCTGAGTGGTTCCTTTCAAAGTTCATGCATAATCTTAATTATAACAACTGTATCCTTCGGCAAGATCTGAATTCTGAGACCTGATAGAATTACACTAAAACAATCAGTAAAAGTTAAAGCAAGAATCTATGTATTATCACAATTAGTAAGAAGACATTTTTTTCACGGACCGGGGGGGGGGGGGGGGGGGGATGGTTTCATGATAATTCAAGCGCATTATATTTATTGTGCATTTTATTTATATTATTACATTGTAATATGAAATAATGATACATCTCACCATAATGCAGAATCAGTGGGAGCCCTGAGCTTATTTTCCTGTAACTAGATGGTCCCATCTGGGGGTGATGGGAGACGGTGACACCCGATACGTGTTGCCTATGTCCAGTCTACTCCATAATCTCGTTTTTGTTGCTGTCACTGCAGAAAACCCTGCTTCACAAAGATAGGACATTGGAAATGGAAGCAGGATTTTCTGTGCTTTTGTGGCAATCTCAAGATATTCCGCCTTGACTTTAATCCAGAACGTATCGAGATTTGAAGTTGTCTCAAACATACTTTTAAGGCCACCATTTGCGATCTCAAGCAGTTGATCCTCTTCTAGCACAGACAAAGTCGATTTACCTAGCTTATTCACAAATGGGTCTATTCCCAGTTCGGGGGTCTTTTGTGGTTGGGAAGTAACGCTCAAACTCTTTTAAAAGCTGAGATAGGTTTTAATGCACCAGCTGGGAGAAAGGCCCTGGCTCAGTCTCTTTCAAAATCTCTGCTAGTGTTTGAAACATGTCAAAAGTTCCAATGTTCACTCGTCGCCCCCATAATTCCAGTTTGGCTTTGAATGCAGCCACTTTATCTGTCGAATTGAAAAGAGTTGTCGATCTCCCCTGAAATGACACATTGAGTACGTTGAGCAGGCTTAATATGTCACACAAGTGAGCAAGTTTTTCGACCCATTCTGTGTCACTGAAATGTGCTGACAGTGGTGACTGTTTTTCTAAAAGATGTCTCTGGAGTGGCTCTCGCAACTCTCTGGCCAGTGATCTACCTTTAGAAAGCCATCTCACTTCTGTGTTTTAAAGATGATGTGTGGTGAGTGCACTGCGCTACGAACCCGGCGATCCGAGTCCGATTCCCGCTCACGGCCACCACGATTATTTTTACTGGCCCTGGGCTTCCCCTAGGTCGTCTCAGCCTCAAACGAGTAACTGATGTGGTGTGTGAACATCGCCACTGGGGAGACAAAGGCGGCCGGGCGTGGTGAATCCAAGTCCCGGGCGAAGCTAGTCTTCAATATATGAAAGGAAAATTTGTGAATGTGTTGTCTGTTCAAAATGTTTAGCTGTACTTCCCGACATGCAACAAACTTGAAATTTGCCATGTGGGTACTTTGCAAAATGTACACCATGAAAAATTTATAAAAATATAAACTTTTGTTTTTTTTGGGGGGTGGGGGGGGATGGGGGGGGGATGACCATGAAGTGTGTGGTGAGAATCGATATCTGCTGAGCGTTTGTGGTATCGATTAAAAGGGAATAGGCCGATTCTAAATAAATCTACAACCTTCGATTCCTTTGCGCGATCTAAAGAATCGAATTTTGACGCGCGAGCGTAAGTTTATTTTCCACAGCGCGTTGGGATTTATTTACATTTTATAAAAAAAGTTATTCATAAGAATAATAATAAAAAAAATTCATTTGTATAAATTATGTTTTTAATTTTCTTGAGAAGTTTTTCAATACATTTTTCCCCCAGGCAGTACCTAATAAATGAAACAAACTATCAACTGGCGGTTAATTAACATAATTTATTCATAAATGCTATCGCTAGTTCATTGTGACTGGTTCAGCATCGACGACTCATCACTAGACATGAGCCCGTCTCATTAACATAAGTTATTCAGTTACACTGCCGCTCGTTGGGGGAGGGGATTGTGTTGAACACCGCAAGTGACGTCATGTCACCTCCTGCTGCCGCGTGACGTCACGAGCTGCTACACCGCGCTCGCTCTCCCAGATCCGAGGTGAGAAGTTAACATCGTTGTTGTTGTCGTGGTGGTTGTTGTTGTTTGCCCAGGTAGAGCCTCTCTCCGTCTCTCTCTCGTAGGGATATCAATTGAGTAGCAGCGAGTATGGAATCGATGTCCAGGTTGGAACATTACAACGCGGGGCCGAGCCACGCGGGGCCTTGCCTCCTGCCCTCGCCTGATTGCATTTGCTTTAATCCTCTGCTTAAGTTTAATTCGTCTTCATCTGGCTCACTACTTCATGGGACCTCCTTTGCCAGTAGCAACATATAAGAAGAGGTTTTTCCCCCCTTTCTTGGCAACAAAACAGGTGTTAAGATATTCTTGGTTCTTTCGGTAAAGTCACGCAGAAGGGAAATAATAAAGTGATACAATTTCTTGCTGTGGATTTCACAGCTGACGATGATTGCTCGTGTTGCAGTCAAAACGTGAGAATTTTTTAAATTTTTTAATTCTGTTTTTCTTCTACGTGACGGTGTGAAAAACAGCAAGAATTTATAAAAAAATTTTTATGAAATTTTCTTGCTCGTGTTGCAGTCGAAACGTCGTGAGAAATGTTTTTATTTTATAGTTTTTCTTCTACGTGACTTTAGGTGTGAAAAACAGCAATACATTTTTGCCGTGTTTTTCACACCCGACGCTGATTGCTCGTGTTGCAGTTGAAAAGTCGTGAGAAATGTTTTTAATTTATTGTTTTTCTTCAACGTGACTTTAGGTGTGAAAAACAGCAAGAAATTTTTTGAAAATTTCGGATGATTTTATTGCTGTGTTTATCACACCTGACGATGATTGCTCGTGTTGCAATCGAAACGTCGTGAGGATTTTAAATTGTTTCATATTTTACTTTACCGAAAGAATCAAGAATATGAATCCCTGCAGTCACGAAAGCTTTAAATAAAAATTTAGGTGTTAAGATGTTTAAACGCCGACCTGAAACCTTTTGCAAGCAATCGTGTCTGCATTAACCACAATATACTCGCGATCAATATGCAAACAAAACACATGCTGTGATAATCTGTGCATTGTCTGTGAAACTGATTGGTCCACACTAGAGACGGCTTTCTTTCGAGCCTAGTCTCTAACGGTGTTAGATCAGAGGACAGCGCCAAAAGGCGTACACAGCACAAAGACAACGCCACCATCAGAACAATGACAGCTCGGGGTGAGCAGTTACATCATGGGACCTCCTTTGCCAGTAGCAAAATATAAGAAGAGGCTTTTCCCCTTTTATCATTTAAAGATTTGTACAATTTTTGTTTTGGGATATTTTTTGTATATGGTTTCTCCGTGTTTATTTCAACTGGTTGGACCATCTCTAGCTCCGCACACCTACCTTGATGCACCCATCTCAGGCCTATATAAGACCTTATCTCAGCAGCTTTTTCTCTCACCTGAAGACGATTGCTTGTTTTGCGATCGAAACGTCGTGATCTATTATTTTCTATGTACGCGACTTGACCAAAAGACCCAAAGAGTATTAATTCCTGCAGTCACGAAAGCTTTAAATCAATAAATAACTATGTAGTTTGAGAAGCTCCCAATGCACCATTGGAACCTCCTTTGCCAGTAGCAAAATATGATAATTGTTTTTTTACCCTTTTATCTGGCAACAAAACTGACACCTTTTTTTTTACCAGGAGTCATGTTTGCATTGACCACAATACCTGCGGTCAGAATGCAAACAAAAACACAACTCTGATAATGTATGCACTGTCCTTGAAATTGATTGGTCCACACCCGAGACAGCTTTTCTTAGAGCCTAGTCTCACATGCTGTTGGACCAGATGACGCCAAAAGGCGTACAACTCAAAGACAATGCACCATCAGAGTATGAGAGCTCGGGGTAAGAATTTACACCATTGGAACCTCCTTTGCCAGTAGCAAAATATGATCATTGTTTTTTTACCCTTTTATCTGGCAACAAAACTGACACCTTTTTTGAGTTGTACGCCTTTTGGCGTCATCTGGTCCAACACCATATTAACTGCCCTGCTGGTATGCTGCAGGGCAGTTAATATATATTTTCTCTGCAACAACGATGAGGTCGGAAGAGCGACGCCCACATGAATAGGTGGAGCGCTGGGTTCCTAAAACCCAGCAAGACAGTTGGGAACACAGCTGGTTCATCTGTCAGTCATCCCTTGACACCTGGATCATTCCCATTACCTCCTGACAAGGAATCCGCACTTACATGGCCTTAAATTGCACCTATCATGGCATTAGCACAGGGATAAGGTTACTTGCAATTCGTCATGAATGGTGGATTTTTGTTTATATATGTTAATGATGCATGTGAAATGTATGTGTATTTAAGAGTTTATCTTTGTGGGGAGCTGTGGTGCAGTTATTTCACTGCATTATGAACTCAACAATTAGTTTGATTATCACCGACAGCAAACATGATTGATAAGTGAAAGCTGAACTGCTTGTGGGCCTCTGCTATGTTGATTGATCTTAAATTAATTACATGATGAAGGGAGGAAGCGTCAATACTGAGCAGATGAAGGCGGCCAGACATGGTTCTGGACACACCACCACTTTTTACCATGTGTGACAGTGTCAAGTTTGTATTTGCAGTAAATTATATTAACTATTGAACATGGAGGTGAAATTAAAACAATCGTTTATTTTAGTTTCCCTCTGGAACTTTTTGGAAGAATGGAAACAGGAAATTAACAGCACATATGCTGCTGAATTAAGATCTGTTCATCCAAGCATTCAAGCAAATCTGAGCCTGGCTTCACACCTCTAAAGTTGAGATTGAACATTTATTGATGCATTTCTGCATAATACAAATAGTATTATTCCCAACGGCCTTTGCTATGTTAGCTGAAATTTGCTTTTATAAATACTACTTTTGCAGCCAATAAGCCGAAATTGTGTGCTTGGTGTTGTTGTATATGCCGGATTATGAAATTTTGATAAAGAATAAAAGAAATTAATGACATTTTAAACAATGCGTAAATCACATAAATTATGTTAATGTATGTAATTATATTAATACATTATGATAATTGATATAATCGTATTAATGTATGCAAATGCATGTGATTATGTTAATGTTTATGTAATGTTAGGTCTCCAAATTCATATCTCATCGCAGGTTACATTTCTTATGAATAAGAAAGTTTTGCATGGACTGGGAAAGAAGCACTCGAACACTTGGTGTTAAGCAATTTTAATTCTAAACAACATATGACACTAATATGCAAAGGCAAAAGTATTCGTCAATAGATTCATTGGCAAGATTATGCAATTAACGAAAATAAATGTATCAAACATTTCGCATTCATGTAACTCGACGGCAGCAACTGCTTTGCACAATCAGTTGATATTGAATGCACCGCCTTGAAATGGCAACCCTTTTTGAAACACAAAGATAACTTTTTGAAATTCTTATTCGTGTGCGTGTTGTGTGTGCGTTGTCCCCTTGTAAAATTAATATTTTAAGCCGAGGCAAGGCGCTGTGTGGGAGCTTGTGGGGTGGGGGAGGGGATACAACCAGCTCTTCAGAGGTTACTTCTCGCTTGGGCGTGGCCGCAGCGAGCCCGTCCTGCTTTCTCTCTCCACTGCTAGATTGAGCGGCGTCGGCACGACGCTCGCCGTCGTGGCGTGCAATGATTCCGTCGTCGGATAGCGCCGTTCCTCCACTGCTGGATGACGAGTCGGCACGACGCTCAGTGACGCCCGGGTGTGCTGCTCGTGCACTCTCTCCACCGCTTGATGAGTGGCGTCGGCACAACGCTCACCGTCGTGGTGCGCGATGATTCCGTCGTCAGATAGCGCGCAGCTCCTCCGCCGCTGGATGACGAGTCGGCACGGCGCTCCCTGTCGTGGTGCGCGATGATTCCGTCGTCGCTGCTGGACGTCTTGTTTGTTTTCACTGGGTGTTGGTCGGTGTGTGTGTGTGTGTATCAAACACACGGCGCATTCGATGGCGCTCTCTCTCTTGGTGGCAGCTCCAGTCTTCTCCACTGCTGTATGATTGTTGAGTCGGCACTATGCTCACCTTCGGTGGTGCCCAATAGCGCTCGCAGCTCATCCGCAGGTCGTCAGTGCTGACACTCTTTCTCCCTTGGCGTGCAGCTACCAGCTTCACGCGGGTACTCGCTGATGCCTCTCCCACCCTCACTTCAGGGGTTTCGTTGGGTCAGGTTCTCTCACGAGAATGATAGCTGGAATTTCGCAAGCTTCACTCGCACTTAACCACACCTCGCCACTTCGTTCTGCGAGAAGCGACACCGGCCATTGGTATCAGACTTCTGCGACTCCAACGACCCCTCCTCGTTCCATCTTTCCTCAAAGCACGATGCGCCCCAGCTCCCCTTGCGAGCCCCGTCGCAACGCCGCGTCGCAAGCCGAGTCCCGAGACTGAGCACGACTCGAACCAGACTGCTCACAGACTTCTGTGCGTTTGTGCTTAAACTCAAAAACGTGAACCCCTCCCCTCTGCGCATTTCTTGCGAGAGAGACAACAAACCGAAAAAAAACCAGACACCCTCCCGACCCCTCCTCGCGACCCTTTCTAACCCCCTAAGTATTTATGGTGCCATCTGTTTGTGCCGGACCGTTGGAGACAAAGGTGGCTGGGGGAGGTCCTGACGTTTGCAGTTTCTTTTGGTGGCATTCCACTTTCCCAGATGTCTGTCGTGGAACGTGGCGAGTAGTGGGTTGTTTTCATGATTTAATAATAAATAAATAAATATGTAAATTTGTTGCCCTATTTATTCTTAATCTTCATTTTTGGAAAACAGGGCATATGTACAACAGTGTTTTGGGTTAACATTTATTTTGAAGATACTAGGGCTTCCAGGCATATTTATAACCATTTGCCCTCTCATTGTGTGTCTGAACATCCCGCGTGATGAATTGGGGATAATCTTGAATATATGAATAAAGATAGATGTGTAAGTCATTACTCTGTGCCTCGATACTGATGAAGATGGTGTGGACATTTTTTTCTGTCTGCAGCTGATGCTTCTGCTGATGCTTCCTCTGCAGAATTGGTCTGATGGAGCAAAGGCACACAGCGCGGCTCGGTAGACAAAGACAACAATGGGACCAGTATGCAAGCAGCATGGATTCTACTGGAAATGTTAAACAGGACCAGAGATCTCCAACGGGAGAGAAACCCTTCAAGTGCAGTGTGTGTGGGAAGGCATTTTCATATTCATCTTATCTTAAAATACACCAGAGAACACACACAGGAGAGAAACCCTTCAAGTGCAGTGTGTGTGAGATGGCATTTTCACAGTCATCTTATCTTAAAATACACCAGAGAACACACACAGGAGAGAAACCCTTCAAGTGCAGTGTGTGTTGTAAGACATTTTCAAGATCAATTTATCTTAAAAAACACCAGAGAACACACACAGGAGAGAAGGCCTTCAAGTGCAGTGTGTGTGAGATGGCATTTTTAGATTCATCAAATCTTAAAATGCACCAGAGAACGCACACAGGAGAGAAACCCTTTACGTGCAATGTGTGTGGGAAGGCATTTTCAAGTTCGTCTTATCTTAAAATACACCAGAGAATACACACAGGAGAGAAACCCTTCAAGTGCAGTGTGTGTGAGTTGGCATTTTCAAGTTCATCTAATCTTAAAATCCACCAGAGAACGCACAAAGCAGAGAACCCCTTCAAGTGCAATGTGTGTGAGAAGGCATTTTCAAGTTCATCTTATCTTAAAATACACCAGAGAACACACACAGGAGAGAAACCCTTCAAGTGCAGTGTGTGTTGGAAGACATTTTCAAGTTCATTTTATCTTAAAAAACACCAGATAACACACACAGGAGAGAAACCCTTCAAGTGCAGTGTGTGTGAGATGGCATTTTCACAGTCATCACATCTTATAATGCACCAGAGAACGCACACAGGAGAGAAACCCTTTACATGCAGTGTGTGCGGGAAGGCATTTTCAAGTTCGTCTTATCTTAAAATACACCAGAGAATACACACAGGAGAGAAACCCTTCAAGTGCAGTGTGTGTGAGATGGCATATTCATATTCATCAAATCTTAAAATACACCAGAGAATACACACAGGAGAGAAACCCTTCAAGTGTTCTCTGTGCGGGAAGGCGTTTGCACAGTCAACACAGCTTAATACACACCAGATAACACACTGGCATCAGAAGACCCCCAAGGAGTGTAGTCTGAAATCGACTTGTGAAAGTCAAAGTGCTGCAATGAGCCCATCCCTCCTGAAAAAAGAACCAGAAGTAAATTCCAGCTTGGACACTATGAAATGTATCAAGATGAAATTTGAAGAGGCGAAGGTGAAATTTGAAGAGGCGACGGTGAAGAGCGAAGAAGTGACAGTGAAGAGCGAAGAAGTGAAGGTAAAATGTGAAGATGAACATTCAACTCCAAAATCGGACCTTCACATCAATGGAGGCACTCCAAAATCGGACCTTCACATCAATGGAGGCACCGTGAAGCAGGAGGAGAATTCTGACTGTGAGGCAGAGCGAGGCAACTCCCAGCAGTTTGTGGAAGTGGAGGTGTGGGTGGACTTCTTAGACAATACAAAGTCAAATGGAGAACCTGTAGATGTGTAAGCTTGGGACAATGAAGCTGCAATAGAACGTGAAGTTGAACACTCCATTCCTAGGTTCAACCTGCAGAGTAAGAGCGGTCAGTATTTGTGGACCTGTGGGTTGGGTAGATCTCTAATTAGGAGCGAGAGCCAATAAGCTCCCAAGCATTCACTATGTTATAAACAGGACCCTGCGGGGTGGGCTGGTAGGAACGAATAACCAAAGAATATAAACAATGTATTATTACACTTGTTTAGCCAGGAAAGCCCCACCGAGTCTAAAGGTTTTTGTAGGGTCCTGCCAAGTGTTTGCAGTAGGGGGCGATGTTGCTACACCTAATCGGACGATCCGAAGGGAGATTTTGAGGCCTAGTTCTAGGCTTTAGGCCTATCTGTAGGCTTTAAGGCGCTGTGACCTAATTTGTAATTTAAATGTTTTAATTGTTAATGTATAATTTTAATGTTTTAATTATTAATGTAAAAGCTTTAAATGTAAATGTTTTTTTATTTTTAAACATCAGGGAATGTAACATTGTTAAACATTAACTCCCTTTCACACACGCGGGGGTACGATACGAAGGGAGACTGTGAGGCCTAGTTCTAGGCGTTAGGCCTAGCTGTAGGCTTTAGGGCGCTGTGAGTTTTTTTTATTTAATTTCAAAGTTTTAATTATAATTATTAATGTATAATTTAAATGCTTTAATTATTAATGTAAAAGCTTTAAATGTTAATGTTTCTATTTTAAAACATCAGGGAATGTAACATTGTTAAACATTAACTCCCTTTCACACACGCGGGGGTACGATACGAAGGGAGACTGTGAGGCCTAGTTCTAGGCTTTAAGCCTAGCTGTAAGCGTTAGGCCGCTGTGAGTTAATTTTTTATTTAAATATTTTAATGATTTATGTAAAAGCTTTAAATTTAAATGTTTCTATTTAAAAACATCAGGGAATGTAACATTGTTAAACATTAACTGCCTTGCACACACGCGGGGGTACGATACGAAGGGAGATTTTTTGGCGTATTTCGAGGCTTTAGGCCTAGCTGTAGGCTTTAGGGCGCTGTGAGTTAAATTTGAATTTAAAAGTTTTAATTAAAAGCTATCTCAGGGAATTATAAGGTAATGTTACACTTGTTTAGCCAGGAAAGCCTCATTAATTTAAATGTTTTAATTAAAAGCTATCTGAGGGAATTATAAGGGAATGTTACACTTGTTTAGCCAGGAAAGCGTCACTGAGTCTAAAGGTTTTTGTAGGGTCATGCCAAGTGTTTGCAGTAGGGGGCGATGTTGCTACACGGACGGACGGTCGGACGGACGGTCAGGCGGACGGACGAAATCATCTATTGTAGGCTGGTCCACTTCGTTCCTACCAGTATACTATTAACATTTATATGGTGCTTGCTTAATTGCCTCAGCAACTCGGAGTTTTCTATCATATCTCATCACAAACACTCAAAGAGCACGCCTTTTGGCGTCCTCTGGATTAACACCGTTTGATACTAGGCTCGAAAGAAAGCTGTCTCTGGTGTGGACCAATCAGTTTCAAAGACAATGCATATGTTGTGTCCTATGACTAGCCACACAATGATCCGAGGGGAGAGAAATTCACGTAAAGACAGAGACACGACCCATACATCGAGACTACTGCAAGTTACAGAAGACTACAAGCGACAGAGAGTACTGCGACGGGCAGACTCCGGGGCATGTGTCTCGCAGAGAAGAGGGGCGAGGTGATGCTTGGTGCTGAGTTCGGCATGGACTGACAGTATCGCTGAGAGTTTCATTCTACATTTATCCTGATGTTTTGAGTCGCATGCAAAGTCAAGGATTGCGATGAGTTGTATTGTAATAAGCTTTCACAGTTGTTTAAGAGGTGTGCAAATACAATTTACAAGTTTTGAGAGTGAGTTCCAGCTCCCATGAGCAGCTGCGATCGGCAGGCTCCGGGGAAACTGCCCCCGTGACTGGCACATCGTCAACGAGCTGCACCAGCAGAAGCCACGAGTCTACGAAATAAACACAAAGAGTTACTTACTGCAAGCAGCAAGATCTGGGGTGGGACTCTAGCAATGGTTCACCGAGTACGAGCTCGGCGCTGACAGAAGAAGTATCTCTCAAAGTTATTCTACACTGAGTGCCAGCTCCCACGAGCAGCTGCAGCCCAGGAGATAGAGTGACGAGCAACGACGAGCAATCAACCGGGAGAAAGGGTGGACGCCCAAGCATCGACCAAGCCAGCATCGCAGAGAACCAGCTGCACGGTCAACCAGGCATCGCCAGAGAGCACGGAGCCGGAGAGAGAGCGTAGCAGCGCCACCGAGCAAGGGTGTCAGCTGCCAGCGGACAAGCGGCGAGCGCTGTCGAGCACCTTCAAAGACAAACATCGTGCCGACTCTGCTCATCCAGCAGGGTAAAGAGCCTGACCAGCTGCCCGTGAGGAGGAGGAGAGCGCCAGCGAGAGCGCCGTGGGTTCGACCCACACACACCGACCAGCACCAGCTGTGAACCAAGACACGAGTGAGGAACGGCGACCTGCAGACGAGCTGCGGGCGCTATCTGACGACGGAATCATCGCGCACCGCCGACGGCGAGAGTCGTGCAGACTCTTCACCCAGCAGTGGGCAGCAGCTCCAGCTGTCGCCGAGCAAGAGAGAGAGCGAGGAAGCTGTGTACATGACTCTCCCCCACACTCGCATACCACGTATCATCCAGCGTCTTCTTGACGCAAAGAATTGATCAAGGAGACAAAACCACCAAACACACACATACCGCACATACCGGGACTAATAATAATAAAAATAATGATAAGAGTGTGTCAAGTATTATCTGATAGTGAAGAACATTGCTGCCCATTGAGTCACGTGGATACGGTCGTTGAGAAGTTTTTTTAGTCGTTCTTTTTGTTAATTTTAACTGTACCGATGAATTCATTGACGAAACTAAACGTTTAGAAACCTACGTTACGAATCCACACACTCACAGGGAGACTCTTGTGTTGAAATCTTTCTTTTGATCACAGAATCTTGCCCGCTATTTTATTGAAGCCTTAGCCAATTGATAAGCATTTGCTGAAGCAGGCACACTGTGCCGCACACCATTGTTCCAAGACATTTAGTTAATTAAATATTCTACCAATGAATTCATTAAGGTCTATATTTGCATTCGGGACATGTTTCTTTATTGCCGTTTGTATGAATATCGTCACATTAATTTTTAAGGACTTTATCCTATGCTCGCGTTACTCTGAGGAATTAACCGATTGCTCTGTTACCCAGTTTAACAACGTAATCATTGAGGGTTAAATGTAAGGATCAATGAGGAGCACATCTCCAGGAGTACAGTGTTGACAATTCCAAGCATAAGAGTTCGCATATTAGAGTTATGTTTTTGTTTAGAAATTAAAGTTGCTTAACACAGAAGTGTCTGAATGGTTCCTTCCTAAGTTCATGCATAATGATCTTATTTATAAGAACTGTATCCTTTGGCGAGATCTGAATTCTGAGACCTGATAGAATTACACTAAAACATAATCAGTAAAAGTTAAAGCGAGAATCTTTGTGTTATCACGATTAGTAAGAAGACGATTTTTTCACGGACCAGCGGGGGGGGGGGGGGGGGGGGGTTGCAGGGATGGTTTCATGATGATTCAAGAACATATTTATTGTGCACTTTATTTATATTATTACATTGTAGTATGAAATAATTATACAACTCGCCATAATGCAGAATCAGTGGGAGCCCTGAGCTTGTTTTCCTGTAACGAGATGGTGGGAGACGGTGACAACCGAAGTGTGTTGCATATGTCCAGTCTACTCCATAATCTCGTTTTGGTTGCTGTCACTGCAGAAAACCCTGCTTCACAAAGATAGGATGTTGGAAATGGAAGCAGGCTTTTCAGTGCTTTTGTGACAATCTCAGGATATTCCGCCTTGACTTTAATCCAGAACGTATAGAGATTTGAAGTGGTCTCAAAACATACTTTTAAGGCCACCTTCGTTTGCGATCTCAAGCAGTTGATCCTCTTCTAGCACAGACAAAGTCGATTTACCTGGCTTATTCACAAATGGGTCGCGGGTCCATTCCTTCCCAGTTCGGGGGTCTTTTGTGGTTGGGAAGTAATGCTCAAACTCTTTTAAAAGCTGAGATAGGTTTTAATGCACCAGCTGGGAGAAAGGCCCTGGCTCAGTCTCTTTCAAAATCTCTGCTAGTGTTTGAAACATGTCAAAAGCTCCAATGTTCACTCGTCGCCCCCATAATTCCAGTGTGGCTTTGAATGCAGCCACTTTATCTGCCGAATTGAACAGAGTTGTCGATCTCCCTTGAAATGACATTGATTACGTTGAGCAGGCTTAACATGTCACACAAGTTAGCAAGTTTTTGGACCCATTCTGTGTCACTGAAATGTGCTGCCAGTGGTGACTGTTTTTCTAAAAGATGTCTCTGGAGTGGCTCTCGCAACTCAAAAACTCTGGCCAGTGATCTACCTTTAGAAAGCCATCTCACTTCTGTGTTTTAGAGATGATGTGTGGTGAGCGCACTGCGCTACGAATCCGGCGATCCGAGTTCGATTCCCGCTCACGGCCACCACGATTATTTTTACTGGTCCTGGGCTTCCCCTAGGTCGACTCAGCCTCAAACGAGTAACTGATGTGGTGTGTGAACATCGCCACTGGGGAGACAAAGGCGGCCGGGCGTGGTGAATCCAAGTCCCGGGCGAAGCCGGGTAGTCAAGCTAGTCTTCTATATATGAAAGGAAAATTTGTGAATGTGTTGTCCGTTCAAAATGTTTAGCTGTACTTCCCGACATGCAACGAACTTGAAATTTGCAATGTGGGTACTTTGCAAAATGTACACCATGAAAAAATTATAAAAAAAATAAACTTTTGTTTTTTTTTGGGGGGGGGGGGGGGGATGACCATGAAGTGTGTGGCGAGAATCGATATCTGCTGAGCGTTTGTGGTATTGATTAAAAGGGAATAGGCCGATTCTAAATAAATCTACAACCTTCGATTCCTTTGTGCGATCTAAAGAATCGAATTTTTCCACCGCGCGTTGGGATTTATTTACATTTTATTAAAAAAATTATTCATAAGAATAATAAAAAAAAAATTATTTGTATATGTTATGTTTTTAATTTTCTTGAGAAGTTTTTCAATAAAATTTTCCCCCAGGCAGTACCTTATAAATGAAACAAACTATCAACTGGCGAACCATTAACATAATTTATTCATAAATGCTATCGCTAGTTCATTGTGACTGGTTCAGCATCGACGACTCATCACTGGACATGAGCCCGTCTCATTAACATAATTTATTCAGTTACACTGCCGCTCGTTGTGGGAGGAAATTGTGTTGAACACCGCAAGTGACGTCATGTCACCTGCTGCCGCGTGACGTCACGAGCTGCAACACCGCGCTCGCTCTCACAGATCCGAGGTGAGAAGTTAACATCGTGGTTGTTGTTGTCGTGGTGGTTGTTGTTGTTTGCCCAGGTAGAGCCTCTCTCGTAGGGATATCAATTGAGTAGCAGCGAGTATGGAATCGATGTCCAGGTTGGAACATTACAACGCGGGGCCGAGCCACGCGGGGCCTTGCCTCCTGCCCTCGCCTGATTGCATTTGCTTTAATCCTCTGCTTAAGTTTAATTCGTCTTCATCTGCCTCACTACTTCATGGGACCTCCTTTGCCAGTAGCAACATATAAGAAGAGGTTTTTTCCCCTTTTTTGGCAACAAAGCAGGTGTTAAGATATTCTTGGTTCTTTCGGTAAAGTCACATAGAAGGGAAATAATAAAGTAATACAATTTCTTGCTGTGGATTTCACACCTAACGATGATTGCTCGTGTTGCAGTCAAAACGTCGTGAGAATTTGTATTTATTTTATTTTTCTTCTACGTGACTTTAGGTGTTAAAAACAGCAAGAAAATTTTTCTAAATTTTGGAAAATTGTCTTGCTGTGTTTTTCACAGCTGATGATGATTGCTCGTGTTACAGTTGAAACGTCGTGACATGTTTTATTTTTTTATTTGATTGTTTTTCTTCTACGTGACTTTAGGTGTGAAAAACAGCAAGACATTTTTAGAAAATTTTGGATAATTTTCTTGCTGTGTTTATCACACCTGACGATGATTGCTCGTATTGCAGTCGACACGTGAGAATTTTTATGTTATTTTTATTTTATTGTTTTTCTTCTACGTGACTTTAGGTGTGAAAAACAGCAAGAAATTTTTGGAAAATTTTCTTGTAGTGTTTTTCACACCCGACGATGATTGCTCGTGTTGCAGTCGAAACGTCGTGAGCATTTTTATTTATACAGGTAGGAACAATGTTCCACACTACCCACCAGGGATTTATTGTCTGTCTGTCTGACTGTTTGTTTGTCGTGCATAAATAAATATATAACATAAACAGCTCTTTGATTGGTGGAGACCTACTTCCGGGTACGGGAGAGGGGAGGTGCCTAAGGGAGGAGGGTCAGGGGAGGGGCCTAAGGAAGGGGGGAGTCAGGAAAGGGGCCTGAGGGGGGGGTCAGCGGAGGGGCCTGAGGGAGGGGCCTAAAGGAGGGGGGGGTCAGGGGAGGGGCCTAAGGGAGGCGGGTGCGATAGTTATTAAGGGGGCTGTCTGCCTGGCTACCTAAAGTCAAGTTATTTTTTTATACATACAGGTAGGAACAACAAGTTCCACACTGCCCACCAGGGATTTGTCCGTCGTGCATCTTATTCGCTGCGTTAACTCTTTCATGCCACTCGAGGCCATCTTGGTGCCAGTCCTTTCTCACCCCACCACCTCTGTGCTCTCTCCCTCCCACACCGATGGTGCTTCAAACAATGGTGCTTCAAACAATGGCGAATAGGCTTCAACGTTAATATTAAGAGTCTGCTATTAAGAGTCTTCAAGGCGGTACGTGACTCCACAGATATTTGCTTTATTACTAAAAACACCATGAGTATATTGATATGCTTTTTTCTCGTATCTCTTGACGCAGAATAAGCTGCCTATGCACATATAATATCGTATTGTAAGTTAGAGTACTGGCGAAGCGTACTCAGTGTTTTGTATCTCCTGCACTTTTATTATCGATTTGTACCGTTTGCTTATGGAATATTGTATTGATTCCTAAGTCATGGAATCTATAATCTACTTTTTGAGTACTTGACCAAACTGCTTGGTGCATGGCACGCATTTTTACAGACGCATGTTGCAATGTCATTGTTCTGATCATTATAGATACAATATAAACAATATAATAAACGTACACCACTTGGTCAAGCCACTGCTAGATGAAGGCCTAACCATGCCATGTCAGTCATTGAGCTTGTTTTGACCATACTTCACTCCGGTCATTGTGGGTGTGCTGAAGATTGGTAATGCGTTTTTTTAATAGGCTTTTGTGCATGCAATTATCGCAACACCCTTAAAAATTCAATGAACATCCCTAACTGGACATGTGTGCATGGTGGCAATGGCTGCCTGTGACCATGTTTACGATTCAACTGGAGTCCCCCCCCACTCCCAGCACACTTTCCAGTTTTTCAATTAATTGTGATAGATTTACAGTCATTATTTCATTATTTTTATTTCATTTTGACCATCTCTATTTTAATTCATACAGTTATTTTTTGGTTACTTTACTTTCTCCTCAATGCAACATTGCAAAAATGCAAGTAGAGTTTTAATTAGGCTTGGCCAAGACACATCGTGGCTAAAAGGGATAATAGCAAGTGGACAGAACTTGGGATGCAATGTCAACCGATGGAGAAAACACGTGTGAGAAAATAACCACCACAGAGATGAAGCAATGAGATCATTTCATGCGCATGAGCTGGGTGGATCACAAGATCATGAGGGATGGTGACAATATCGGGGAAAATATTGGGGAACCTTTTCTCCCAGCAGTAGATTGAGCATGGCTGATGATGATGATGAACATTAGCATGTAATGTACATGCATTGTAAATAATCTAATCTCACGTGACTTGTTTATTTGTCAGGAGCATAATAAATTTCAGTTGATGAATTTATTTTACGTGCCTACTCAACGCTTTGGGTAGTTGCTACATTTGTGGGTAAGACACGAGGTTGCCATTTCTTAATTTGAAAAAAATAGGTTTGGCATTTCTTATTTATAAATTATTCTGACATGATACATATGTAACGGGTTCCGGAGACACTTCTAGATGTACTTCTTTATTACAATACAACACTCCAACAGTACTCCAACTCTCCAACAGTCCTGATACTCTGTTACAGCCTAGGTACACAGCCTAGCTACACAGCCTAGATACACAGCCTAGATACTCTACTCTGGCTACGCTCCGGAACTCGCCCTCACAAGGCCGTAGAGTCGGGAGTTCCAGAGTCCCAGCGCTGGCTCTCACAGCATCCCAGGGTCTTCAGATGGCTGGTCGTGGGTCTTGGGTCTTGAGTTACAACTGCCCCGATCGTCCAGGGAGCTCTCCTTTTATGCCTGGTCCGACGAGGGGTGGGGCCGTGTGCGCCACCAGACATCCCACAGAGCACACACAGCCCCCCCCCCCCCCCGTTGGCGGCGCCAAAAAGGCTTAAGCGCCTGGGAACCCAACGCCTGGCGCCCAAAGGCTTAAAAGCGTCTGGACCCCCTGGGAACCCAGTGCCTGGCGCCCAGAGGCTTACGCGTCTGGACCCACCTGGGAACCCAGAGCCTACAGCAGCCCCTCCCTTCTTATGTCACTACATTACCCCCCTCTACGTAGCCTCCAGCCGACCCGGCTGTCAAAAAAAAATACAATTGTACAAGAAATTATTTGTTAACCATCAGAATGAGTGTGTGACAATCAAGAAAAAATAATGAGAAGAAAGCGCCTCTTTCCCTCCTGTGGTCACCGATGCAGAACAACACTGTATAAACACATATATGCAGGATGAACGCACGCCCCAATCGCCCACTATACATGATGGCAAGGTGAGTGGCGTCGCGGTGGGACGAGAGTTCGTGGGCGGGGGTCATGAAAATCGTTTGAGTTTTGAGCGAGTCCGAGTGGCAGGTCCATCGGTCGCGACGGAGGCGGGAGGGGACCGACGACCCGCTGTTGCGCTTGTGTCCTGGGTCGCTGATCCCGCGGGCAAGCTTGTTCTCGCTTGGTCGGCCGTGGCGGATTTCATTCCCAAGGCACCTGAGGGCGGGACAGCGGGACCTGCCCGAGAGTTAGAAGCAGGATCATCGCGGCGCGGCTAGTCATGCATTTCGCGCTCTCGGCCCCGGAGAAGTGAAGGAGGTGTGTAGGGTTGAATGTAAGGTTTTAGATGTGACGGGTGCACGAACCAACGTCGCTTGCCATGCTGGATCCTGACACACTGCGGGCGGAGAACGCGAATAATAACAACCGGGCCTCTCCAAGGCTTAAGCAGTTTTGAGGAAGTAGCCAATGGTACCTGCGGGCAGTGGAGCCAGGCGCGGTCCCCTTCCACCCAAACGTGGCGGGATGTGTGGAGATTCCGCAGCCGCTCGTTGGCAAGCTGACGGGCTTCTGAGTTATTTTGAGCAGCCTCCCGGGCATCCATGAGACGACGCACATTAGCACGGATGTGGTCGGCAATCTTAGCCTTAGGTGCGGGCTGTTTAATGTGCAATTGTACGTCGATTGGGGGGCAAACGTCCCTACCATACATAAGATAGAATGGCGAGTACCCCGTGGCAGCATGGGGCGCCATTCTATAGGCGGCCAAGACACCAGGTATGTGGAGATCCCAATCAGTCTGTGACTCAGACACCTGGTGGCTTAGCATGGAGGTAAGTGTCCTATGTAATCGCTCGACCATACCGTCAGTCTGGGGGTGATATGGCGAGGTGCGAATTTTGTGTGTCCCTAGCAGGTTGCACACATCCCGCAACAGCGTGGAAGAGAAATTTTTCCCTTGGTCGGTCAGCAGGCGTTCGGGAGCACCCTTGTCCAGGACGTAGCCCTGGAAAAAGGCCTCCGTAATGGCTGCTGCAGACTGGTTGGGGATTGGCCAGGCCATGGCCCATCGGGTAAAATATTCGACCCCAACCAAAAGGTACTTACTACCCCGAGGAGTAGCGGGAAACGGACCCAAAATATCCAATGCGACGATCTCATTGACCCGGGAAACTTTAATGGATTGGAGCGGCGGGCAGGACGGCCTAGCAGGTGGTTTCCGCCGTGCACATTCTGTGCAACCTTGCACAAGGTCAGCCACATCGTTTGCCATGCCCGGCCAGAAAAAGTCCAATTGGATTTTAGCTAGTGTTTTCTGAACACCCAAGTGCAAGAGGCGACTGGGTTTCCCACACAAGTCGCCCCCGCAGGGAGGTGGGCACCACCAATGTGTGGGATTGGGACCCCCCATCCCAATGCATGAGGACGCCTTCCCGGATGACATATGATACGGGGCCCCCCTGCCCCCTGTGACCCTCGGCATCCCTAGCGCGGCGTCTCA